ACGAGCGTGCCATAGCGTTCGTGGTCATCGTCATCATATGGGTCTTCGTCGTCCTCTACGCAGTTTTACGCTCAAAATTGAAGAACCACGAGCTGCCAACACCATTCTGGTGCTGGATCGGCGGCAAGGGTAATCAGTACATCGTCGACAAGCTCGTAGGCGAGTACCTCTGGATGTGGCTCACGCTCATCATTTCCTTGGTGGCGTACATACCACTCTTCCTGCTCAGCAGAGGATACATCTCTGTGCATCCGGTTCAATGGTGGAAATTCAGCGTGCATCGTCGCAAAAAAGGAGCCGGGCTCTCTGATGCCAAACAAGCTGGCATGGGACTACTCGCGTACGCCATCCCCTTGCGTCCATGAAATCCGCTGCTGACCTTGTCTCGAATAGGTATCCAATAACGTATTCGGTCGTGATACTCCCGATGTCCATCGTGCGTTGGATCATGTTCGGCTCCTTGCGCTCCTCCTCCATTCCTTCCGCGGCAACATTGGCGGTCGTCACCATTTTCCATCTGAGTGGTGCAGTTAACGTCCTCTTACTCATTTTCGCCCGCCCTGGGCTGCTGCTCCTTCGCCCCCGCTTACGCCTGCGGGAACCCGTGATTTCTACGGTTCATTCCAATAGCCGCATCACAGTCGATGTTGAGCTGGCAGACGGCGGCATTCAACGCAAGCAACCCGAATGGCAATAGGCGCCGCAGGATCGACGAGTCCTTTCTGTGCCTGAATGAAGTAGTATAACTACATGCTCTAGTGCTTAAGTTCGTTGGTGCAGTGTAAACGAGTCAGTTCCCGCAATGATTACGAGGCCTGTTGAATTTGTGGTGATTCCGAACGACGTCTCCTCGCGGTCTCGACGGTTCTGGGGTCAGACCCGCTGCTACGCAAGCCGTCCCTGAACCTAGGGCGCAGGACACGAACATCGACGTCCACGCTTCACAAGTCTCTGATTCACAGACGTTGCATGATGCTGCGGCGCAAGGCGACGCGGATCCCGATCCAGGGGAAGCACAGGACGCTGATGAGGTACGCGTACCACAAGCATTCTCTCGTCGACGAATGCTTAGACAGACTTGGCGTTATACCAATCCTTCGAGCTTGCCAACGCCAACGTCCAATGCTGGATATCAGACCTTCGTGTCGTTCTAGCGGCGTTACCCGGCATGCCTGACGCTCGCGCCCCACCCGTTGCATGCCTCATCCCACCCGTTGCATGCTCGCGCCCCACCCGTTGCATGCCTCATGGACCCCCTGCAGGTGGAGGAGCTCATCAAAATCGTGACCGCTGCCGTCGACATCTGGCTTGCCCAGCGTATCAACGATTTAGACAGTGCATTAGAAACGCCTTACCTTGCCCATTGCGCTTGACTGTCGCTGTAGGTCTGTGTTTCCTTCGAGGATGCTTTTCCCCCCACCCCGCTTTTTTCCCAAGTGGTTTTGCGGGGTGGTCGGGGTTTTTAACGCACTGACGAGGAGCCGGACTTCCGCCAGTAAGCTGAAGACGGCTTGCCTAGCATACATTACATAGCACTGTATGTACACATGTACCTAGGACTTTTTCGTGCTGGTGGTGAGACAGTGCGGTCGGCTTCATCAGCTCACGAAAACCGTCGAGCTGCTTGGCACGCTGTCGACTGCACGAGTGGCGTACGTGCAGCGCAGCGGCAACCGGCTGTTCCGCTACCGGGACCTCGTCGGCAATATACCTACCTACCTACCTACCGAGACGCAACGCTTCTCGATCTGCCCTCACCATGGGATGCGTTATATAACGTTCAAACTATCAAAACTATCAAAACTCCGAATGCAGTCTATGGCGATGCCCGGATTTTTTCGTCGAAGACGACGCAGAAGGGCGGGCAACGCGTCATGCACGAGATCAACAGTGTAAGACACAAGGCGACGTGGCAGGCAGCGGTGCTAGACAGTACATGCCCGAGAGCAATACTGTCACACTCTGCATACCGTCCCAATCACCAGCGCCGAAGTGGGGAACCAGCGCTGCGCACGGCGGTGATCTTGGCTTTCCCGGAACTTACGGACTCCAACTCCATTTCTGGCGCGGGAGAATGGCTCCTGTACGATCGTCTGATGGCTCTCCTGCAAGTTTTGAGTATGAAGCGGTCATACCGCCAACTTCGTATCGATCTGGACGGATCGTGGGTGAGGCTGCGGAACTTATAGGAGCGGGGGCAAGGGCCAGTGCAAGCGGGACGAGACCATCCTAGGTATGTGTTGGCTGGCAATCATTTGCGCTGCAAGAGAGTTGCGTCGTCCGTGAGTTTGTGCTGAACAGCTCTGGCAGAGGATGGCAACTGGGCTCCGCCGGCCGATTTCATATTGCAATGGCTGCGCCCTTGTACTATAGTTGCGGATGCACGATTACAAGCGAGGTTGAACGGCAAGGTCCTGTGACGGGATTGGCGCAGGGGACCACATGGTGCAGCAAGGTGTGGTCGCCACGCAAATGGAGGCGGGTCTCATCATCCCATTCCGGGTCGACACGAACAATGCAGCATTCCACACTGTCCAATGATCCGGTTTGCTGCCAATGACCTATACTTCCTCACGCAGCTCTCGCGCGTATATGGGCCATGTGAAGCAACATGAAGATATGGCGACGCTCAACCAATGCAATAACTCGCTCTCACCTGTAGGATGCCACGCGGACCGAGAGAAAATTCGTACTGAAACCGCCACCGTAACCAAACGGGGTCGTCAATGGCGGTTGGGGATTCGGGGAATGTCACTTTCCGACAGCTCCGCGATGCATCTGGCGTGATCACTTCGGAGCTTCCAAGTTTAACTTCGTGAGTGTTCTATATAACCATTCCATCTTCAAGGGGTTAGAGCTCCTGATCCACGCAGCGAGCAGGTGCGATTGCCATGTTTTCTCTGCGTCAAGCCAACGATCAAGGGTTCAATGAAAATGACACGGTTACTATCCCATCTTATTTCTTGAAGCTCGGTACTGTATGCACGTACGCACAATGGCAGGAAGACTTCGCCTCTAGCCCTCCTGGGCTGCATATAACCTGTTTGACAAGGGGACAGAGCATCGGCATCACGGTCCGTCATATCTTCGTTTGCATAGCAACTTGCCTCACATTCTGCCCAAATCCTCGAAGCTTACAGCAACTGCAGGGTTGATCTCGATTCTATCCATAATTCTACTGTTCGTACTCATTGCAGTAAGCCTATTCTCGTTATCCAGCGCTGGTTGTTCACTCTTCACATTATCTAGTGGAATGTGTATAAGCTCTGGCGAGATCCTTATGCAGAACGATGGAGTCTGGTTCAAGGTCCTGCAGACATATATATGGTAAGGGCTCATAATACCTTGTACTCTATAACATATCAGCCATTCATGTGACGCGCTTCAGCTTCAGTTGCTTGCATCAGACCTAGTACAAGCTGTTGGTGCCGTTATGGACCTGAAATGGATCGAATCTGGCACTGTCAGTCCAGGTCACTTCTGCACATCACAGGGTATGCGCAGACCTTTCTACCATGCTGCTGCTTGACCGAATCTCCAGGTATAATCAAGGAGATCAGCGAAGCTAGTGTAGCGATGACTACCGGTGTGAGGACCAGTATCTCGCGCTGGTTCGCATAGCCTGATCGTCAGTATGTCTAGGCTATCGCCATCCACACGTTTATCATAGTGTGGGGACGCAAAGCAGTGCATGAGCGAGCAATGGCGCTCGTTGTCGTTGGATGTATATGGGTGTTTATGCTCCTCTACACAATCATACGCTCCAGGGCGAGGCTACACGAGACACCGACACCGTTCTGGTGCTGGATCGGTGGCGAAGGCAAACAGTACATCGTCGATAAACTAATGGGCGAATACCTTTGGATGTGGCTTACCCTCTTCATTTCGGTGCTGGTGTACGTCCCCTTGTTCTTGCTCAGCAGGGGCTACATCTCCGTGCATCCGATCCAGTGGTGGAAACTCAGCATGCATCGCCGTAAAGAAGGAGGCGGGCTCCCTGCCGCGAAACAAGCCAGTATGGGGATGCTCGCGTACGTGCTTCTCCGGATCCTCGTTCATCTAGCTGATCTACTTGCCGTGCCAGGTATCCGATAGCATATTCGGTCATTATCTTGCCAATGTCAGTTGTGCGATGGATAACCTTCACCTCCTCGCGATCCCGCACCGTCCCTTCCGCGGCCACCTTAGCAGTTGTCACCATTTTCGGTTTGAGTGGCGCAACAAACGTGTTTCTCTTAGTCTATGCGCGCCCTGGATTGCTTCTCCTCCGTCCTCGCGTGTCCCGGCGGGAGAATGCGATCTCCATGGCCCAGTCCGAAACACGTCTCACGCAAGATACGGAAGCCGTAGGTTCTGTTCCCGATGGTCATTAGACGGCCATGATCGCCTTTCGTCGGGAATGGTGGGGGAAGACAGGAGTGCTCGTGAAGGGACATGCCGCATGAAGGCACGGAATGAACTGTGCTCGGACTTTCAGGAAACCCCGAATATGACAGCCATCAACTCCCGTCTCCGAGTCGACATGCGCTTGTAAACCGGCGATGCCGTGGCTTCGGTTATTACACTGTTTTCGTCCATATAGTGTTGATTCTGCTCGGGATTTGGAAACCCCAGACAGTTCGACTACGGGATTTTGCACGCATTTCGGGATGGTGGCTAATAGTTTCAGCTGCTAGCGCATGGAGATATGCAATATTCACTCGAGTTTTCTTGCTGTGCTTATCTCCAGGCGCCTATGGTTGAGTGGACAACGTTCTTCCAGACCTTCGAGACGCCACTGATGGATGCCCTGCTGCTATCTTGCGGAAGCAGAACGTACTGGAAGAGCCCTGGCTACCGCCTTATCTCCGTGCGTCGATCGGATTCCGTACTCGTTTACATACATATGTTGATGCTCGGGTCTATGGCCCATTAGCTAGCTCAAGCGCCTGTGCGTTTCGTGCCAAACAGCACAGACCCCGAGTCGATAGCTTCACCCATGGAAGCACTTGAGCTAAAGATGAAAACGGCATTCGACTTGTTGACATGTCAATATCGGCGCAGGGCCGGGGTCATCGGCGCAAGGCGGTGCGATATGCCCCGTTGCAGAAAGAACAGCTCCCGTTTGACGTGGCCTGTCATCGCTGAGGCCTGGCCTTGGAGCTTCCGTATTCATTATCACGGAGGTACTAATAAGTGGAGACACAAGACACTTGAATCATCCATGCACCCTTCCCGGACTTCTGGTCGTGCGCCTGCGCGGTGATGAGTGCTCCATCATCTCTGTTCATGTTGCCTCCCTTGAACTCGAGCGATACTGTCACCATTCCGAAGGCTTTTCTCAAGCTCGGTTCGGTGTGCAACTACACACAATGGACTGATTATTTCTCCACGAACCCTCCTGGTATCAATCTCACCTGCTTGACGCGGGGAGAAAGCATTGGAATGACTGTACGTGATCCCTCGTCATAACATCAGTATCATAACAAAATACATATTGATTACTTACTATCACATAGATAACTGCCACGGTCGGACTTGTGTCGATTCTATCGATAGTTGCTTTATTCGTCTTCATCATGGTGCGTATCGTCTGTAGCCATTGCACATTCAAGCTTCAGCCTGATGATTGCTGGGACGATGTCAGTACAACATGTTCGAATTATGGCGAACACCCTCAACCGAGACTTGGAGTCTCGTCCGAGGGCCTGCAGACATCTATATGGTAGGTCTTTCACGCTTCCTATCGTAAGACATGTTTTCTCAGCGACGTCATAGCTTCAACTGCTGATATCTGATATCATAATGGCCATCGGCGCAGTCATGGACATTCGATGGATCCATACCGGTATCGTTAAGCCAGGTCATTTTTGCACTGCGCAAGGTGCGTTTCATACAGCACCGTAGCATTCGCGAGCTCCTCGGTTGTTCTGACCTCAGGCTCACCCTGTCAGGAATAATTCAGGAGATCGGGGAGGTCAACGTCGCAATGACTACCGGAGTGAGTCTCGCCAAAATGTTGACATACACATGAGCTGATATGGTCATCTCATGCACAGGTCATCGCCGCACACACCTTCGTGATGCTCTGGTGGCGAAAGGCAATCCACGGGCGCCTTGTGGCTCTGATTGTCATAACTTGCATTTGGCTCTACAACATTCTGTACTCTATCATCGCTTCAAGGCAGCGTCAGTACGAAACGCCTACACCATTCTGGTGCTGGATAGGTGGCAAAGGCGACACGTATTTGGTGGACAAGATCTTCGGGGAATATTTATGGCTGTGGATCACACTTCTGGTTTCGACCATAGTATACATCCCCCTATTCTTTCTCAGCAGGGGATATATAACAGTAAGCCAGACGCACTGGTGGAAGTTCAGCGTCCACGGAAGGCAGTTCAACAGCACGAGCCCTTCTGCGAAACGCGTCAGCCTCGGTATGCTTGCGTGAGTATCGTCCAGCCTTACTCGGCACGACTATTATTGACGAGTACATTACATTCAGGTACCCGATTACATACTCCTTCACCATCCTTCCCATGTCAATCGTGCGCTGGTTCATGTTCACACCATCACACTCGGTCCCATCCGTCGCAACGCTGATCGTGGTCTCGATCTTCGGTCTCAGCGGCGCCGCCAACGTCTTCCTCCTCCTTTATGCGCGCCCGGGACTGCTTCTCCTGCGCCCGCGCCGCTATCATTCTGCAAGCGGTCGGGCGCATCTCAGGACAGGGGTAAACACGGACACCGTTTCGTCCAAATTTGTGATCGACATCGAACGGCAATGTACCGTCACGCCGGGGCACGACAGGCATGGCGATGCAATGGCGCTGGAGGAGATAAGGCGGAAGTCACGGCAGACGCCGCGGCGCACGGTGACGGCGCCATCTATTCACAGCCTGAACACAGACCCAGAGTTGGGTTGGGAGACAAAAGGCATGGACGACATCAGTTTATATGGAAGCCCTCGTACGGGAATTTCTGTGGAGGGTCCCGTGCTGCAGCCTGGAGATGGGCCATTCATTGGTGCGACTGTACCAGAATCAAGGTCTCCTTGAATGGACACGAAGCTGTGGACATGAATCTGTAGATCAGGAGGTTTGATCCGGGTATATGTCGTTTGTCTTGTTGTAATGCTGATACCCCATGTCCTGCAAGACGTGGAGTCTGTTGTCTGTATATCAGTGAGGAGGTACGGCGTGTAGATAGAAGACCGCCTACAGCGTGGCATATGTACGTGTAAGGTTTGATAGCATGTCCTAATTATCGACGGAAAGAAAAGACCTTCGCCCACTCGCCAAAGACCGAGGGTTGCAGAGACGTGGATCTTACAGACTGGTTTTCGGGCGGTTTCTCCCATCAGTGTCACTTTCGCGGACCATCGAGCATCCATCCCTCTCGGTGACCCGAGAGCGGACTCAGCCTGCAGCAGGCTACGTTGTGCAGGTTGGGAAAGATCTGAAGCAGTTGCGGATTGTCTGCCGCATGATCTGCGTCGTCGGTGTGCGGCAGTCAGAGATTTTGAACGCGTTCTGCCTGGCGACGGCAGGTAACGTTCTCACCCTCCGAAAGTCGGCGGAAAGCGTCATTCTGGCCCTGCTTTGTGCCGCACAAGGTCCGGTATAGTCGCCGTTCCGGGACAACCCTGGTCCAGGAAGCGACCAATCTCAAACTATATGCACCGTTTATCTATGAGCTGGCCACCAAGTCGAAGACGATGATGAAAATATCGGTAGGTAAGGTTGCCGCCATGATCTGGTAGAGGGGGTTGTTGAAGGTTTGTGAACGGTTTGAGCTGTTCAACTGGATCTACTCATGTCCATTCTATCGGTGTGCACGTATACCCTGCAGGGAGGACGTGGGATACGTCGACCGTAATTCGGAGAGATGTTCCTTGAGTTGAAAGCCGTCATCGGTCAAGTTGTAAGTGTCGTCGCAAAGCTGGATATCAGGACGTGCGATTGCCGATGCAACGAGGCCTGGACCGCTACGGTCGAATGTATGCTTGATTTGAGAATATATTCCATGCATCGCCGTACATCTAATAACCCATGTTGCAGTAGTTGATTATGCACGGTATATCTGTAGAATTCAATCTGCCGTCATATATCAGCGAGGAGGTAAGAACATGTAGAAGAACGCATACTTCGCGTGGAGTGTCCACGCCAGATTCGACGTTGTCCGCCAATTATTTACGAAATGAAAAGGCCTTCTTTGCCCATCCGCCGATTACCGAGGGTAGCTGAGACGTGACTGTGTAGCCCAAAGACTCGTTTCCGGGCAGTGTCTTCCACTCATCGCCTGTCCGCGACTGCCATTGTGAGTCGATAATCCACCCATCTCGTTCCATCTGTTCGGTGAACGCTCTTGCTCGTTCCCATATGCTGACTCCCCCACGAGCATCCGCCTCCCAGGGCAAAGCGCATCTGTCCCCACGACGAGGAACAATGTAGATGTGGCTATCTTGCAAGCGTTCATTCTTGATCCAATCTACTAATGGTCCGAAGACGCCGCTGTACCGGTCATCCTCCTCTAGCACCAGCATCTGGAGGCCAAGCCTCTTGCGAATCGCAAGGAAATCGGGGTTGGTGGCACGGTGGTGGTTGGCGACGGCCAAGTGGGTAAGGCTTTCGAAGGGCGCCGCCATATCGTGTCCGAATGCGTTCTCGAACACCAGCGGCAGCCCATGATCCGTCAGGAGTCGCAGATGAGTGACTGAATCGAGAATGAAAGGATCCCTGCCGTTGCCCGCGAGCCACTTCATCGTCAAGTGGAAAGGTTCACCTCGTACGGCCTGGCGAGCCTTCTGGCGTGCGATGGCATCGGATTCTGCTTCCGGCTCCTCTGCCGTGCCCGGCAAAAAACGCAACCAGTTGCATGCCACGTTGCGCAAGTTGGGAAAGATCTGGAGCAGATGCGGGATGTCTGGCCCGGAATATTGGTCGTCAGGCTCCAGCCATAGACCGCGAACATATTCGGCCTGGCGGCGGTAGGTATCCTCCTCTCCCCCCATAAGCCGACTGATGACGTCGCGTTGTTCCGGCCGTGCACCACACAAGGTCGAGTATAGTCGCCGTTCCGCGAGAAATCTGGTCCAGGACGCTACCAAACTCAGACTATATGCACTGCTAGTCGATGAGCTTGCCGCGAAGTCAAAAACGATTATGACAATTTCGGTGGGTAGTTCTGCAACCATAGCGTGGCAGAGGCTAGGGCCTAGGGAGTAAGTGAAGTTATGCGTAATTTGCTCGCCCAACTGAATTTATGTCCATGTTGGTATAGCGTGACGTGTACCCTAAGATAAAGACGATGAGACACGTCGGTCGCGACCTGGAAAGGCATATGCTCACAGCCATCCAATGAATCACCTCTCTTTCGACTGGGAAGCCGCCGTAAAGCTGTGGAGGTCGCTGGCGTCGAGGTCCCCGTCAGGCTATCGAGGATGGCCCGCCCTGAAAGCGGTGTCCAACATATCGCGATCACGTTAGGCGCCCTAGTCTAGGCGCCCAGGGGCGAATCACACGCTAGCGCGAGGCTGTTGGAGGCGCTGTTATTTGCTCGTCCAGCGCCGAGTTCTCATAGGACAAAATGATGGCGCCTTTCTTATACCTCGACAGACCCATGGGTGCTGGATATTTCTACAACCTCCGGGACAGCAACGTTCGCGGCCAGTAGGAGTGCAAACGCATGTCGAGCTCGTTCGCCGTGCAGCCGGGTGACCTTGGCCCGAACATCACCATCCCGCAGAAGCTTCACGAGCTTGGGACTGTATGCTCGCTAGATCAATGGATTCTTGACTCCCAATCCGGTTCCAGGCTGATAAGTTGTTTGACGCGAGGGCAAAGCATCGGGATGACTGTATGCGCTGATGTTCACCTTCTACGTCCAAGCTTGACATCTTCTCATGCAGCTCACGGCCACCGCTGGCTTCATCTCGGTTGCGTCGGTACTGGCGCTATACATCATGGCCTTTGTGAGCTTGTACCGGTGCAGAGACTGGATGACTGGCTAATGGTCCTTTGCAGCATAATGCTCTGACATTGCGACGAGATACATCGTGGCGAGAAGTATGGCGCGAAATCACTTGGCCGGACGACCTCTATATGGTGAGCACATACGAAGTTGTGCCGGCCACGATCATGATTAACGTCTATGCCCAGCTTGCCTTGTTCACGTTCGACATCCTCCAGGCACTCGGGGCCGTCCTGGACGTGAGATGGATCAACAGAGGTATAGTGTCACCTGGGGGTTACTGCAGGGCTCAAGGCACGTCCCCCATCTTTTGGTTCATAGGATCGCGCTTGACGATGTTTCCGTCCGTCCATGCTACAGGCATCATCCAACAAATCGGAGAGACGGGTGTCGCAATGACTACCGGTGTACGTCATTCTCTGTACAGGCACGACAGATCGGCTCACAGTATCTTTTAGGTCCTCGCCATCCATACATTCCTCCTACTCTGGTGCCGCACGAAGATGTCCGGCAGATTCGCAAGCATCGTCATCTGGACTGTCATGGGCATCATCTGCACATATCTCCTCCTGTATTCCCTCATTGGCGCCTTCCATGCGAAACTCTACGAGGCTCCGAGCCCATATTGGTGCTGGATTGCCGGGAAGCAGAATCACTACCTCGCGGACAAGATTATGGGCGAATACCTATGGTTATGGCTGACCCTGGTACTCTCGGTCGTGCTATATACCCTACTTTGGTTGCTCCTCAGAGGTAACGTCGATCCGGAGGAAGGAAGGCCATGGAAGGTTACCTGGCAGCGCCGACCAAGTGACCATGTGGAGAAAAACAATCTAGGAATCCTTGCGTGCGTTTCAGAGATGCTCCAGATGATCTCGGACTGACGACGCTTACATCTTACCGTCATTTCCTAGCTACCCTGTGGTCTACTCAGCGATCATCCTTCCTCTCTCCGTCGTACGCTGGATCACCTTCGCGACCAACCACGTCCCATCCGCGGCGACATTCTTCGTCGTAACGCTATTCAACCTTAGCGGTCTTGTGAATGTTCTCATGCTCCTCCTTGTACGCTCCAAGCTCCTCCTCTTCGGCGCCGCCAGAGGACGTCGCGAAGGTATTCGTAACGGTACCGGCACGGACAACGCAGGGGGCGTACCCCCCGTCCCGAGCGACTCGGACTCGGATCGTTCTGCTGCCATCAACAGACTCGGTATGGCCGGCGCGCCCGGAAATGGTTCATACGCTATGGAAGACCTGCGGCGGCGGTCTCGGCAACCTTCCAAGGGGATTGCCCCCTCGATCGTGAGCTCGAACGATGAAGAAGAGGCGAGCGCGCACGCGCCAGGGATCGACGTGGACGGAGGCAGCTATGCGTACTCGTATCGTTCCGACGGGCGCGGGAGCGCGCTCGGTCTTAGCCCTGGCTTCGAGCCGGACGTGGCGGACCGCGGATCTTGGCATCGGCGTCCGTCGGGCGGCGGTTCGTCGAGCACGGACGTGGCGGCTGCAAGCGCGGCCAGGCAGGAGCCGGGACCGGCGTGGATGGCTGTTAACGGACAGCAGCCATATGGGGCACGGGCGTACGATCCGTACGCGGACCGGCCTTTGGGCGTGTAGGGGCACGGAAGGCATACTTCGCACTGGTTACTAATGCTCATGTTGCACTTATATATCCGATAGAATTCGTGTGTACTCTATAATATTTGGACGAACGAAGGGTGTCTTGTCGCGATACTGGCCATTCCTTGTCTGCGAGGTCATGCTCGACCATGTTCCTAGCTTCCACAAGTGCGGCGTCCCTCTCGCCTCTCCCACCACTCTGAAAACATCCAGAAGATCGTTAAGAAACGGGATTGATGTAGTCCATGGAATACATACTTATCACCAGCCGGTTGATGGACACAGTACTGAGAGTCGCCGTATCTGCATGGCGGAAGGAGCACGTCTCGACTTGATAGCTCTCTCGACAACGCTGCTGTACACTGCGCGTACGTGGCCACATCTGACTCACACTCTCGTCTGCGATGCTGTTGAACGTTTGACGACCTGGGTAATGCTACCCCAAAAGAACTTGCCATGCTCCCACTGCGCAGACATGAGCGTTTCTTCACTGAAACGGACATTGCGTCGAACAACAGTCACAAACATCCTTGCCCCGCCCTACACGAGGTCTTAGTCGGAATCGACGTAGGGAAGGCTTCGCTCTTCTTCGGCGCTGTACGGGAAGAGGAGAGAGAGCAGCACTACGATAGTGCGGCTCCCTCAATCATCGAGTCGGACAACCAAAGCGTCTGCTCTGACGGAAACACCGTGGGAGAGCGGAGTGCGCAGGGTCTACGTATACGAAGATCGTCACGGTCTGTAAGCTCCAGGTTGCTCTCTCCTCTTGTAGTGGCGATGAGCGACCATTCAACATATATCTATCCGCGCTTTCCGAGTCGGTTCAATTCGTGTATCCTAGCAAAGCCCCAACGATGGATCATACGTAGGTCGTTGATAGAATGCACACCCCACACCCCGTGCCACATTACGCGCGTGGTGATGGGTCCCCAGCTAACCTGTGCGAGTTCCAGAATCATACACAACCAATGGCACCGCGCTCTCCAGCTTCTTAAGGAAAAAATCGTTGTAATGTCTCTCCGAGCGGTCCACGAAAACGAGTTTATTGAGCTGGCCATCCCGAGATCGGCACTTCAGAAGGCGGAAAAACGCATCGTCGATGGAATTCGTGTCGTCCAGGATGATAGTATGTAGATTTGGGAGCAACTCTTGCGCATCCTCGTTGAACGTTGTCAAAGATTGCACGAGAGACTGAGAGATCCCCTTCCTAAAACGCACGGTGTGCACCTGGGACATCCCACCAAGAAGTTCTCGCCAATGCTCCTCATCCAGGTCATGTAACCGTCCCCTCGAGTCAGGAATGTCCATCTCTATAGAGATATTTGACGCAGATAGAGCATTAAGCATGGGGATGAACAATAGCAGAGAACGGGACGCCGCGGGCCGAGCTGAGGAAAGGGCGAGCGGCCACCTTATACTAAACTGAGGACTGGTCCGGACCATGTCCGGTTCCCCAGAGAAGCAGGCGATGTTTATATCTTCCCGACATACGAGAGCGAGATTCAAAGGTGCCGAGTGACATGCTTGAGCCAACACAGCCATGGTGAGGGCTAAAAGAGGGGAGGGGGGCGTTGGAACGAAAAATCTCCCGGTCGTGCCTACTACAACGTGACAACTTTCAGGAAGCTGAAGGCAGCGAAAAAGAGACCACGTTGCTGCCAGAGTGTCGTTCAGCCATAGGTACGTCAGGTGGGGCAACGAAACGCGAGGCACAGCACTTGAACGGACGGTGTCATCTATCATGGGCAGTGTACGGTCCAAAGTGAGCTTTTCCAAAAATGGTTGCAGCTCGAGGACAGCGAGGACGTCCTGGAATGAATCCTTTTCTGGGTGCTGACGACGTTCGGATTCTACTCGAAGATAGAGCGTTCGTAAGCGTATGGGTGTCAGCAACAAGTTCGACCTCCATGAAAGCCGGCACTCGTCTAGGTTGAGAGTCTGGAGGTCACGGTATTGATCGTCTTGAAAAGAATCGAGCAACGATGTTCTGAACGTGCCTGTAAATTTGATTGAAATCTCCTGTATGCGGGACAGCTGTCCGGTATGTGATCGGAGTATAGACAGGATAATTTGTTCATTCGCCTCGAGGCGCAGGAGTGTGATTGGTGCTGCGTGATCCAAGGAATATAGTGTCGCGAATCGGGAATCGTCGTCCACGACCGGCTTCCAGAACGCGATGGTAGGAGACCGGGAGTGTACAACACGGAGTGGAAGTCCACAAGCGCGTCGAGATGCCTCGATTGCTAGGTTCTTGTGGCGGAGATCCAGATAGTTCCACAACATGGGGGTCGAGATAGCAACATCCCGCCACATAGAACATATTTGAGAGAGCTTGATCCATTCCCAGTGAGTCGTGCTGAGGCTGTTACGGTATTCTAGAAAAATGCCTTGGAGGATCTCGGTTGGCAGCTGATTGATCGGCTGCAAAGTGTTCCTCCGCCGGCGCAGATCACGGAGTTGAGAACTAAGACGTTCAATGTGCTGATCTATGTCTTGCATGACAGCCAATTCACTAGCACGAAGTTGTATCGAGCTACAGTCTGCGCCACATGCCGACATGGGATCGTCCTTGCGTTCGCCTTTGTAACACCGGCATGATAAACAATGAGGTGTCAATTGAGTCTACTTGTGGTTGTAAGCTCCAGCTTCCGGCCTTGAGACTACAATCGATACCACTCACGCTCGGGATTATCGTGCTCGAGAGCCGTGGCTCGGAATCATCAATGTTCATCATCGCCGGGTCCCGTGGCGCGCCCTGACAGAGTGCAAACAGAAGAAGCAGCGTTCAACGAAAATTTGCAACGGTTGTGATGCTGGGTAGGATTCAACGAGCGGAGTGGCCACAGGCTGATCACACATCGACCGTGGGAAAGAGGGAAATTGAGGGGAGGCACCCGAAACTCCACGACAATAGGCTATGTCGTTGTTTATTCTTCATCAATGAAGCCATGCAAGGAAAGATCCAAACAAGATTGCAACGATAGATCACAATGTGCACGGGCGTTCATCGCCATATGCACTGTCAAAGTTTGCGGCCACCTACACTGGGTTAGGTAGGTAGTATTAACCGGCGCGGTCCCAATACCGGAACAGCCAGGCCCAGGACCTCGCACTAGTGGCGAGCCGAGACACCTTGGTCTACACGGTTCCCGTCCGCTCTATGAGCCAACACACCGCTTCGACCAGAGTGTGCGTAATTACATGAATGTGTATCGTACTGTATACTCTTCTCCGGGTGTATTGTACTATCTGTCCTACCCCAGAGTCCTGACCTCTTCAGGCCCCTACCTGCGCTGTAGTCAATCCATGTCGGTGCACTGAAAACCCAACCACTAAAACCCAGTGGGAAAAAAGTGGTTTGGGAACAGCATCCTCGATAGACTGAGCAACATAGGTGAATGTCGATCGTCGACTCAGAACCGAGGCAGGGGATGCCATCACCAGCGCGGTCTCGCAACAGGCCGAGAGGCGGGGTCAGGGAGAGCCCAGACAGAACAGGCTCCCGGAGGCGGAGCAAGGGATGCCACCGCCGGCGCGATTTCGTAACAGCCGAGAGGCGGGGTCAGGGGGAGCCCAGACGGAACAGGCTCCCGGAGGCGGGGCGAGGGATGCCATCGGCGCGATCTCGCAACAGGTCGAGAGGCGGGGTCAGAGAGAGCCCGGAAGGCGGAGCGGGGCCAACGCGGGATGCGGAGAAGACAGAGTCACACTTGCGAGGTGCAGAGCGGGTGAGCGTAGTCCTGGCTCGCTCAATGCGGAGCATTCGACGCCTCGCGCACAAAGCGGAGGGGAAGATGCAACACGTGACCGATGTAGATGGAGCGGACGTTCGAGGTTTGGCGGGCGGAGGCGGCGAGGAGTCACAGAAGTGCGGTGGTCGTGGAAGGAAGTGAAGCTCATCGGAGGATATAATATGGCTTGAATGTCTTCGTCAGATGTCTTCATCGGTGGGAGGAAGGGCACGTCCGTGGTTGCGGTCCAACGGGAGTCCAAGGCAAGAGTAGGGTATCCACCGCAAAGCGACAGGGGGGGGTCGTCTCCCGGCTTGAAGGGACTAATGTTCCATCAAGAGATAACGGTTATTGCGACAGGTTTGAACGTGGTCTGGCGCTCAATGCGATAGGGGAGCCGACAGGGGCGCCAGTGAGGGTAGCGACATCCAACCCGCCGTTGGTGCATCCATCGCAGGAAGTCTTGGAAATCGCCTCCTTTGCGATGCATATCGTAGGGAAGGTCCGTGGAAGAAGAGTAATCTCGTCGAGGGTTAGGGTGGCATAAATTGCCGTGTCGTAAGTCGCAGCGCCTTCTACGTGGAGTAGCTCAATACACGCAGACTTGACTGCGTTGAAAGAAGCGACGCCGTGTCGACTACAGCTGATTCGGAAAATCATGAGCTGCGCCACTTTTTTGCGCGTTGCGTCGTATACGAACCCTACGTTGGGGTTGACATCCGTTTCACCGTGTACGCGCTCGATAGCCCACTGAATCATGCCTCCGAAACGGTCGAAAGTCTCCAAATCTCGCAGCAGACGGCCCCCCAAGGCTAGGGCAAGTGATCAAGAACCATGCGAGCAGGAGGAAAATGCGAGGTCAGGTATGGAGAGGCTATTGCTGTTCTCGGTCTCCACTGCTATCTATGGGTTTCATACTCTCCTTTCCAGGCTCTCAGAAGCTTTTCATCAAGCTTCCGGCACCCACGCTTGCTAAATCCGACCCGAGTACGAGATTGTCCTTGCTCAGAATGACATTGTTGACTGATTATCCATAAAGTCGAGCTGTCCAGTGATAGAGACTCGAGCTCGAGTGACGAGGACCATCAGCACCGCGA